GCGGTACCATCGACGTCCACCTCCTCCTCCTCGCCTTCCCCCTTCAGGGTAAGGGTTCCGACCGTTCCCCGCCGTGGCCCTTCTCGAGGGGCGCTTTCTTGCCTGGCTCCGTCCGGCTGATGTTCTCGATTTGGTGCGCAGGTGGGGGTTGCGTCGACGGCCGTGCCGGCTTCTTCCGCGCCCAGGCTTGTTGCCGCCTCCGCGCCCCTGGGTCATCGACGGCGGCGGCAAGGTCAGTTCTTTGTTAGCCCCGAGTCTTTTTCTCTCCATCTTTGTTAGGGATTTCATGGATTGGTACAAAACTCTCAAGCTTACCTTACTGTATGGATTGGATTGGTAGTATGTGGAGCTGTCTCAAGGATTGGTGGGGTATTTTGTAGAGGAAGAATTATCTTGCCGTATATGTTGTGGAACTTTGATGGTTTAATCCTGGAACCATACTGCGGCATCATCTGGTGAAAAGGAAGAATCACAAACTGTGTTGGTATAAACCCCACGTTCAGGTGTTAGGATTGAAGACCAGCTATCTATTGCCACATAGTGATTGTTTGCTTAGGTTCTTGGCTAAGGATAGCATCCCAAGATGATCAATCTTTCGATATAGTGACACATGGTGCTAAAATGTAGTTGCAAGATGTTGATGGTGTGTGGTAGGCTTTGTAATTATGCAGTGAATAGCTGGTAACATTAACAAAACGATAAAATACCCCTTGCACCTATCAAGTGTGTTCTGTAGGACTATATGATATCTTCTGTCTTTGGGAGCATAGTGTCATATTGTCCGCGCTGTGTTGGAATTATCATCTAAGCATATAGGAGTAGAAAGTTAACTGTTTTGGTACGAGCTGGAGCATCTCCTACAGTGATTAAGGTTAGGTATCAGGGCATTCCACAATTCAGACTATTTGCTTGTATTTTCTGTCTGAATTTATTAAGATGTAATTGTTCAAGTAACTGCAACTCTTAACTGTGTCCTGGTCTAGCAGTGGTTCAAGCTGTTGCCAATCTAGACCCTGCGATTGAGCTGCCATTGACTGCTGAAAATGTTGAGATGGTGTTGGATGAAGTAAGGCCGTATCTTATGGCAGACGGAGGCAATGTTGTGTTGCATGAGATTGACGGGAATGTGGTAAGGTTAAAGCTGCAAGGAGCATGTGGGTCGTGCCCGGCTTCAGTAACAACGATGAAGATGGGTATTGAACGGCGCTTGATGGAGAAAATACCAGAGATTGTTGCGGTTGAGCCCATCACTGATGAGGAGACAGGCCTTGAGTTGAACCAAGAGAACATTGAAAAGGTAAATGTTCTATTGTTGGCCAAATATTTCCATTAGTAAAGATCACTTGATTCTTATGGAATACTGAAGTAAACCAGGATTTATTTTGTTGGATGTTGACTAATTGGAATGAATTTTCCTTGAATAAGATCAAATTCTTCTTAAACATGTAGTATACTTTGTAAATGAATTTCAGAGTTTTCTGATGAGTTGTGCTTATTTATTTCTACAGTGCTGTGACTGCATAATGATGTTATTATCAGTTATTTTACATTTAAAATCCATCTTAGTTTGTAGGCTTGAATTATTCATCTTTAACTATTAGATATATTGTGGAAAGTGTATTGCAATGGTAGAATGCTTTACTTCAGTTTTTTGTTCGTAGGAGCAGGTCAGGACTTTTCAGTGTAGTTGCACTCATTCAGCTTCATTTTTCTGATCATTTGTCTGGTGGAAGCTCTGGTTCTTTGGCTGATTTCCATTGTATCTTAGAGCTTGTCCTTGTATCATAAGTCATAACAACTAGCTTTTGTGCCCCTGCCTATACACACACTGATACATTTATGTTATGGCTAACAATTTAGCTTTTGCATCCTTATTTGTTCAGTATGTGAGGTAACATCCTTTCAGCTGTCACCTGTGCTACAGCGGTGCACCGTGCAACCCTGTTCGACTGATACAGGAAGTGATGTTAATCATGCTATCGTTGATAGGAAATTCTGTCTGCTGATATAAGTTTTGTGATTTTCCAAGTTTACTTCATATATGTAAGATCAAAGCAATAAAGAAGATAGGGTGACCAACAAGCAAATGAGACTACTGCTATCGCTCTTATGCTTTGTCTTACTTTGAAAACTAGCCTTGAAGATGTATAATTTCCATTCCTCTCATGGATCAGTATTTTTTTAAGGGCACTGAGATAGAAACTGAACATCAATTACATGTTTTCTCCTATGTCAGGTACTTGACGAGATTAGGCCATACCTTGCTGGCACAGGAGGTGGCGAGCTCGAGTTTGTCACAATCGAGGAGCCTATTGTCAAGGTTAGGCTTACAGGCCCAGCTGCTGGTGTGATGACTGTCCGAGTAGCGTTGACTCAGAAGCTCCGTGAGAAGATCCCTAAAATTGCAGCTGTCCAGCTATTGCCATAAGATTAGAATCTTTTAGAAGCAAGGCACCAGTCACACTTAGGGATGAAAACGGATCGGATACGAACGGATATCACTCATATTATATTTGTTTTCATATTTCTGTTCGGATTCGGACACGGATAGCGTTCGGATACATATACGAATAATGAGTATCGAATACGGTATGAATCGGATTCGGAGAAGGTCGGATACAAATATCTATTCGGATATTGAGTAAAAGCAGCATATATATATATATATATATATATATATATCATACGTGCGCAAACCATTACACCACTCTATGAGTCCATAATCCATCTAGATTAAGCCGAAAGACTAAAGAGTAAAGCAACAAATAAGATAAAGATATAGATACATCAAACATCATACAAGCACCAATCTTCGTGACATGAGTAGAAATAACCAAGCTCATGGCTTCATGGGTCTCATGGAGTCATGGTCATGGATTCAAGATCGACAATCCTTATATAGGCCATTTTTTTCATTTGAGAAAGTTTGAACAAAATGTAGTTCAAATTTCACAAGTGTGTCACATAGTTTTAGAAAGTTTATATGAGATTCAAGAATTTGTGACTAGTGTTTGATAAAACTTTCTCAAATGGAAAAATGAGCTATGTAACAATTGTAGATCTTGCTGAGATGATCAAACTTGATATTCAGAGTTTTTTCATCTGAGGTCATTTAGTGTCTCATTTGAGCAAGTTTGACCAAGTCAAATTTGGTCAAATGAAAAAACAACACTTTGACTCTAGTATTATGAACTCTAAATGACTTCAAATTGAAAAGTTTTGAATACCAAGTTTGTTCAACTCATCAAGATCTACAATTCTTGTTTTGGTAAACTTTCCATTTGAGATAGTTTGGACGGTTCAAATTTGTGATTTTTAAATTTCGATGCTTACAAACTAGTTTTCGGAACCCTAGATTGTCTCAAATTGAAAAGTTTTGAATACCAAGTTTGTTCAGCTCATCAAGATCTACAATCCTTATATAGGCTATTTTTTCATTTGAGAAAGTTTGAACAAAATGTAGTTCAAATTTCACAAGTGTGTGACATAGTTTCAGAAAAGTCTATATGAGATTCAAGAATTTGTGACTAGTGTTTGATAAAACTTTCTCAAATGGAAAAATGAGCTATGTAACAATTGTAGATCTTGCTGAGATGATCAAACTTGATATTCAGAGTTTTTTCATCTGAGGTCATTTAGTGTCTCATTTGAGCAAGTTTGACCAAGTCAAATTTAGTCAAATGAAAAAACAACACTTTGACTCTAGTATTATGAACTCTAAATGACTTCAAATTGAAAAGTTTTGAATACCAAGTTTGTTCAACTCATCAAGATCTACAATTGTTGTTTTGGTCAACTTTTCATTTGAGATAGTTTGGATGGTTCAAATTTATGATTTTTAAATTTTGACGCCTATAAACTAGTTTTCCATTTGAGAAAGTTTGGACGGTTTAAATTTTGAAGCACTAAATGATTTCAAACGAAAAAGTTGTAAACAACAAAGTTTCATAACTTTTTGAGATCTACAATTTTTATTTTGATCATTTCTCTATCCAAGATCGTTTGAATAATATCCGTTTTTAAATATCCGGATATATCCGATACTTAACCGGATTATCCGATACATCCGTATTTGATATCCGCCTAAGATATCCGTTTTATTATCCGTATCCGAAAAAAATTACGGATATCTGAGTAACTATCCAGATAAGTGTTCATATTTGTTCGGTCGAACGGACGGTCGAATAAATATCCGTACCGTTTTCATCCATAGTCACAGTTGACAATGTAAATGTACCACTGCAATAAATCTTAAGGAGTTGTAATGTGTAGCCTACTGAGCATTTAGCTCCTCTACAGCGATAGATACGCAATGTTCAAGTAAAGGTGTTTGTTGGATTTGTAACCAGAGTATTGGTTTCTGTCTGTATGATCTGTACTCTTGCTATAATCACGAGGGAAGAAACTAAATCATAGAGTACACATATGTTCAGCTTTCAGAAAGAGTGGTTTCTCCTTCTGGAGTTGGACGTCTACTGTGATCTGCAAACTTTGTTAAATTCTCAAATTCACTTGGGGCATGTTCAGTTCCCTGGGGCTGGTGGCCTGGAAGTATTTCTAACTGAATTTCTTGTCTACTTTGTATAACCTTTGATGAGCTGGATTGATTCTTGGGAAAAAAAAGCCTTTAATAGATTATTGATCTGCGCCTTTGCTGCATTATGTCTGATGCAACATACCTTGTGCCACTACATAGCACAAGCACCAAATAGGCCATAGGTTCAGTCGTAATGCAGCACTTGGGAAATGCATGAATAATACAATGCATAACTGATCATCATGAGTCATTTAATTTCTTCTACGATTGTGATTTACAAAGGCATCGAAACAGCAAACCATTCCACAAAACTCTTTGGTGCGACCATACAGTTTTGCGACCAAATGGCATACAGCTAAGATACCTTTAAAACTTACATTGCAATAGCAAACCATTCCACAAGACTCTTTAGCTCCATACAGTTTTGTGACCAAATGGCATAAAGCTAAGATACCTTTAAAGCTTACATTACCCAGTAGATGCAAAAGACCAAGGATGTGAGCATCCATGAGACTCCTAGGTGCAAAACTTTTGGATATAAGTCCATATTGTGCAAGTGCACAACTGCGTTTAACAACAAAAAGGCCTGCAAAGCTCCATTGCTCGAAACTGTCTTAGCACAGAGAGCAGAGTCGGGAAACGAAGACGCAGTCAACCCCAGCAACATGGAAACTAGAGCAATTGTGAAGTAGATTGTACAGACTTGGGCAGCTACATTGTTGTACTCATTCAGTCGGTTGAGAAGTACTGCCTTGTCAATCCATGTAATCAAAGCTACACCAAGAAAACAGATGACCTTGTAGTGCTTCATCCTCTTATCAGCAACAACCTTCACCTACACAATACAGTAATGTCAGATTAAACATTAACTTACTACCCAAACAATAATGTCAGATTAAACACTAACTTGTTATCCAAATAATGCAGACTGTAGTTTTTCTTTATTTACCTCATGTTTCATGTTTGTCTCATGACTATCGGTCTTCATTGCCAACTGCGCAAACCTAAAACCAAGCAATTGTGTCAGCAAGCATACAACATTGGCTATTGCTTACTAGTACATTAACATTAGATTGATGCAGCAAACAAAAAATGAAAATTACTTTGGACAAAGGGCTGTGGCGCTGTGCCAGGTGCCATGCTCAATCACGCTATTGGTTGCTACACCTACATTGGAATGACGCAGCAAGCCAAACTGAAGATTAGTTTCAGCAGACAGCAATGCTGCGTGTGCAATCGAAACTGAAGATTAGTTTCAGCAGACGGCAATGCCGCGTTCAATCTGGTGCGCGCTGCCCTGAGCTATTGCCCCCAATTTGACTGGGACCACCCCCACGATCGGCAGCAAGTGGCGCTGCTGAGGCTTTCTCCATGCTCTCGCCGGCCAATGAGCTCGGCAGCATGTGCCCCAAAATCTGTCGAATTGCATCTACTTTTCAGAATACTTGTTCGCACCGCCTACCAAACACGAAACTGGAACGACTCCATCCCCACAACCAAATGCATACATGGGATCATTCCAACCCTGAAAACTGGGATGGACCTAATCCATCCTACTCATCCCAAAACCAAAAACACCCTAAGAAGATGGTAGTTAAAAAAAAAATTCCTGAACTCATCATCAGCTTGGGCGAACCACTGAACAACACATGTGGTCCTCAGTTTATGGCGTAAATTGACTTGGTGCTCCAACAAAATTTTTGTTATAACTTTAGCCAAATGGTCAAGGCAATGGTCTGGTTGGACTGAACCAGCAAGCCAAACTGAAGATTAGTTTCAGCAGACGGCAATGCCGCGTTCAATCTGGCGCGCGCTGCCTTGAGCTACTGCCCCCAATTCAACTGGGGCCACCCCCACGATCGCCAGCAAGCGGGCGCGGCCGAGGCCGTTCCCCATGCTCTCGCCGGCTGACGAGGTCGGCAGCGCACGTGCCCCCTTAAATCCGTCGAACTCCCGAACCCAGCCTCATCCCTCCAGCCCTCCTCCCGCTGCCTCTAACTCCTACCACTGCGCCGCATAAACCCTAGCCCTCCTCCGTGGTTCGACAAATCAGCACGACCGCGCCGCGGCTTCCCCACCCCGCGCCATCCACATCAATAATCACATCGGAAGCAGTACCTGCGTCGCCGGCTGTCGTCGGAGAGGCGGTCGCGCTTTAGAAGACGCCCCCACGAGGTCGTCGGAGTGGCGGCGGCGCCGAGGCCCTCAATCGGGTGCGACGAACTGGAAGCGAGGCGGTTGGGATTTGAGAGGAATTGGGGGTTTTATTCGTCTCCTCTTTTTTCCAATCCAAACACAAAACGATTTCAAAAAAAAAAAAACCAAACACAAAACATACAAGACGTGATTGTTTTGTTTTGTGTGATTCTTTCGCTTCGCAGTTCGCAGCCTGGCTCGTACCTGGGCCGGGAGCAAGGCCCAACTGGCTCAGAGAAAGCAAACGCGTCAGGAAGCCAGCTCCGTGAGGACAGGCTTAGGTCTAAAAATAACCAATTTTGAGACGGGCAGGGCTAGCGCCCGGACGTCCGGCCGTACTCTAGGGCTGCGTCCGGACACAGCTCTAGCGCCTGCAACCGCTTCACATTGGACGCCCCCTGTGCTTGCATCAGATCCCGCGCTAGCGAATCACGTATGACCGCTAGTGACCGATCCCGCGCCAGTGACCACGTCTGACCATCCACGATTCCATCCCCATCCCGGTTGCGCCCCCGGCGTCAAGCCCGCCGCGCTCCTTCCCCTGCCGTGTCACGCTCCTTCCCTCGCTCCGCCATCCCTACCGTGCCCCTGTCCTTTGCCGCGCTCTATCTCGGCCACGCCCCTTCCCCCGTCCTAACATCTCATCTGCTCTGCAACATCCGTCCGACCGTTGCAACATATGCAGTACTATTGAAACATACTCGTATAGTCATTGCAACATTTAGATGAAACACATGAAACATGCGTTTGAAAAACAGCTAAAACATTTGGAATATACATTTGCAACATACGTCTAAAACAGATGAAACATGTGGAACATACACTTGAAACATACATGGGTAGCCATTGTAACATATGCAACATCATATCCTTTTGCAACATCAAGATGAAACACATGAAACATACAGATGAAACACCTAATTAAAAGATACACATAGGGCTAACAGCTAATCAAAATTCAAGTATGAATAATGAGACGAATGAAAAGCATAACATTCCTGTTTTGCTCACTTTTTTCGATGGAAATGGAGGACGTTTTTCACAACCGAAAAGTACGATGTTTCAAATCCATTCTATCCAACGAACAGTTTTTACCTTAACCTTAGAGAAATTGATCATTCTGGATATGTAAAGAAGCATAGATCGAGATCATTTTCACTTAACCGAAGAAAAGGACCCTTTTTTTTACTAATAACACAAGACACAATCTACTAATTTTTCTCTTTGATCTATATGTCATCTACTGGTATTTATAATACTTTAGGAGCTAATGAAACTATTTTTTGTAACATTCAATTCTCTCAATTCTTTAATTTGGCAACCGCACCAAAAACTCAAGTTCCTTTTGGATTTCGTTTTTATCAATGATAACTGCTGCATGGAGTTAGTCTGAGCATGAAGGTGGCCAATCTTCATTGGGAAAGCCAATGCAAAAAATAAGTGACGCACGCTTGATTTAGTCCTACGTCAGTAATCGAGATATTGGAGAAATACAACGTATAAGGCCCTTACCTATCAAGTTAATCTTTTGTATTGAGTTGGACCTAGGGCCTTGGCTTATGCGTCATTACAAGGCAGCTTGTGGGTTCAAGGGTTAAAACCGCCACAGAAGATCTATTTTTAGTGACGGTGCCTTAACCAAGCGCTAGTATAGTTGCGGGTGACCTAACCTGCCACCTATAGAAATAACATATCATTGATGGTAAGTTATGTCAGAAGTCAGTGACGAAGACCATGCCTCCTATAGTTAAAAAGGGCATTTTCTCTACAACTAAAACATACGGATTATCAACATCTACCTGACAGAACCAAAACACTCATGCGATTCATATCCGGCAGACAAATAATCACCACATGAAGACACTGGAAGGCAAGTAAATAAAATGGAATAAAACTCACGGAATCACCGGCAGGCAAATAATCACCGCATGGAGACAATAAAATGGAATAAAACGGAAAGAGAATTATGGGAAGAGAAAGAAATTTATTGGAATATCATCATGCAATGATCATGATCGTGATCCAAATCTCGTTCGTCGTCCTTCGCGTTGCGTGTTGACAACAAATACTTTTTTTTCCAAAAAATGAATTGTTGTCATGCCACATGCAGGCTAGGATATTGTAAGTCCGAGTATACATGTTTTGAGCAAGACAGAGCATGGATAAATTCAATTCGATGCCTAGCAATAAATTTTCAGCCTTTAAGGCAACTGATGTTTATCGTAACTTTCAGACAACAAGCTCCAAGCCTAGCTTTTATTTCAGATTCATTATGATAATGAATGTATTTCTAGACATTATTATAGTATAATACACGTGAAAAATTGAATTGATATATTTTTGATTTTGACTTGGCTAACAAACATCTTATTCAATTTATGTTACACCCGTTGCAACACACGAGCACTCATCTGGTATTTTAAGATAGCTAAAAGTGCACTAAGAGTACTTCCGGAGGTGGAAGAAAATGTTCTCTCTCTTTTCAATAGAACTGTGAATTATGTAATTAACACTTGAAAAAGGACGAATAATCATGGTATCTCACAAAAGCTGTTTGCTCTATCACTAGATGCTACTCTAGTAAATAAATAGCTAGTGTCCTATACTTTCATAATAATAACTACTACGTAGATGTTTGAACGACTTACGTGTTCGGGCTTATTTAACTTATAAGCTGTATTTTTCTAGCTAACAAATAGTATTTTTCTCTCATACCAAATCAGTCAATAGTGCTTTTAGTCATAGCTTATCAGCAAAAAAAAAAAAAGTCCAAACGAATAGGGCGTTAACCATAAATCGCACTCCCTCCATCCCTTAATTAAGTTCGTTCTCGAGGTGTCGGAGGTTTTCAAAAAGCAGTTCGTTTGGAGTGCCCCCGCCTAAGTTTAGACGAGTCTGCCCCTGCCTCTTCGTGTCTGCTGCATGCGGCCATTAACGCGAGCGCTGCATGCAGCTCAAAAAAACGCAACAAAAGCAAGGAAGTGAGGGATCGAACCGGCGCCCGCTTGCAGGAGCTCGCCTCCGTAACCAGTAGGACGAACAACGAGTACATATCGAATGGATTCTCGAGATGTATTTAGTAAGGGCAAACAGGGGGAAAATAGATCCTCGTTAATCACTATCTTAAATCATGTCAAAACGAACTTATTTCTGGGAAAGAGGGAGTATTGGGCTCACCGATCGAACCAATGATGATGACTTGCCGGCAGGCGGCGGTGAGAAGAATCCACCCTTGAGAGTTGAGCGCAACTGTAGTTTCAAGGAATCTAGTGGTGAACAGAGCAAATGCAATGGTCCATATATATATAGAGAGAGAAGCGAGCAAAGCGATTAACAGTACTAGTAAGGGCGCGTTTAGATGCATTTTTTTTTGGGTTTGGCTACTGTAGCACTTTTGTTTGTATTTGGCAATTAGTGTCTAATTATGGACTAATTAGGTTTGAAAGTTTCGTCTCGCGATTTCTCACCCAACTGTGTAATTAGTTTTTTTTCGTCTACATTTAATATTCCATGCATGTGCCACAAGATTCGATGTGATGGTACTGCGCAAAATTTTTTAGCAACTAAACAGACCCTAAGCAGGACGAAAGACATGGAGGAGAACGATGCGGAGTCATCTCAATCTCATTTGGACTAGCTGCGCGCTTCCACGCGTCGAATCTCCAGTTTGCATTTGCGTTCCACTGCAGGCTCCGCGGACGGCTAGAACACGTATGGACAGACAGGAGTGGCCACACACATTGGCAGACCCAGCACTAGGGCCACTAGGGCTGTTGCCCTAGTCGTGGCCCAAGTAACAAGGGAGCAATTCTTCAATTTTTTGGTCCATCAGACATCAGCCCAACCAAGAAGTCCAAGCCAAGCCAGGGAATAGGGCAGCGCTCGCTCGCGTCTGGATGGAGTCTCGCTGCCTCGCACGCTTGACAGTGTGAGTCGCGTCTAGAGTCGCGCTGCTCCATGCCGTCGTCTGCGGCCAGGTGCGTCGCCCGTCGCCACTCGCCCCCTCTGCTCTGCGCTCCGCCCCTGGCCGGCTCGCCCCCTCCGCTATGCACTCCGCGGCTCCGACCTCGGCAGGTCTCCGGCCGCCCGGCCGGCCATTGCCCATCGCCCCAGTGGTGGCTGCCCGTCGCTCGCTGCCCAGCGCCCCAGTGGCGTCCGCCCCGGCCCCGCTCAGCTGCTCGTCGCTCGCCAGGCAGCCAGGGGGCGCTGCGCCGCTGCCCCCTAGGAGCTGGCCAAATCAAGCAGGACCAGGTGAACAGGAAGACAGAAGCAGAGCCCTGGTTTGCATCTGGTTTTCCAATTTCAAATTTTCAACCCTTTGTTGCAGTTTGTATTTTGAAAAGTTTCTATTCCAGTTACATTCTAAAATTACAGTTTAGAAGATGAAGAGGACCGGACTTCAGCATCGTATTTTTATCGAGTTCCTGAACAAGACGGGGCTACTGAACAACAGACTTTCTTTGAGACTCCTTAATTTGCAAATTTTCTTTGAAAATAGTTGTTTTTCTATGTGACATATAGATTATGGTGTAGCTTTAGGTTTTTGGCTGCTAAAATTTGGCCCATAGTCTTGGCTAAATTCTGGGTCCGCCACTGGCACACACATATGGACATAGAGGAAAAATTGTCAGGTCCGACCTGGTCACGTCAACGGAACTTACCAGAGCAGCAGTGGCCGCACACGTAGTAAGCCCATGTTTAGTTCCAACACAAAATCTTAAAAAGTGCTACAGTAGTCATCACATCGAATGTTTGTGGTCCGTGTATGGAGTATTAAATATAAACAAAAAAAAACAAACTAATTGCACAGTTTGGTGAGAAATTGCGAGACGAACATTTTGAGCCTAATTAATCCATGTTTGAACACTAATTGCCAAATAAAAACGAAAGTGCTACAGTCGCCCAAATTTCTTAACTTCCTGAAACTAAACGCGCGCTAAATGCATAATGCAGCGATCTGCCGTCCCCTGTAGTCCAACGCCAAGGACGACCGCGGTTTTATTTTTGTTAATTTAATTGAGCTTCTCTTAGAGCATTTGTGAAAGCTACTTAAAACAACTAGTTTGTTCTTTTGTAAAAAGGGGGGAAAAAAGTTCTCTATCAGTTTTGTATCTCAACTCCCAAAAAACAAACACTTGTAGATCTGTTCACTGGTCTGAAATTTTCAGCCAGCCGACTGATCCCCACTTTTAAGTTACTGTTCATCAAACCAGCCAGTGTTTTTCTCTCACAACAAACCAGCCTGAATAGTGTTTTTCAGCCAAGTTTCAGACCAGCGAACAGGGCCATTTGTCTATTTCACTCTTGCTATCTGTCCATGCACGTGCCAAATCAGCACCACGTCAACATTCGATCCTATGTGGTACTTTCCTACGTGGCAGGGTCTAATTATTTGTGAAATTAAAACAAGTGTCATATTTATTTGCGGCATGATCTCATAGATGACATGGTACAAATATCAAAAAATATCATTTGCGACACACATTTTTTGACGTGAGC